GAAATGATTGTGAAATGATTGTGAAATGATTGTGAAATGATTGTGAAATGATTGTGAAATGATTGTGAATCGGCCAAGAGAAAAGAAAGAAAAACAAATTGTCTACTCGTTTTTTGCTCACTTTATAATCGTGTTCTATCACGGAATCGATATTTCCAGTAATAATGACTATTCTAATTACAAAATACCATCGTTCTGCCTATTATCAGAATACAATTGTGAGGCACCGTGATGGAATCAGGCTCTCGTCAAAATAATGAAATAGAAGAAAACAGCAGTTTTCTCCCCCTTCCTAGCAATTTTCAGCATTTTAAAAGATTTGGCTCAACACCTTTTATGTCCATTTACAAACACATTCCTTTGAGGATTTCACCGAAAACGTTGATTTAAGGCACAAAAATGTAAATTTACAGTTTCCATGGGCTCTCCAGCTTTGGAAGTTACATAGCTTTGGCGGCAAATTTCTCGCTAATTTTACCTCTTAAACCAGGTGACCCCCACCTCCTTCTATCCAAAATATCTCCACTTCTATTGAAGATGGATGGGTAATTTTTTCATTGAAAGCAAGACAAATTTACAAGCTGTAAGATGATATCAATAACTCAATATGCCCAAAAATTGACGAGAGCCTGATTCCACCACGCTGCCTCACAATTATTGGAAGTATCGATTCTGTTATAAAGTACGATTATGAAGTGGGCCAAAATGGAATCTCCTCTCCCAAAATTCCTGCAAAAACATTCATGTATCTACGGCATTCCTCCGCTAGAAGTCGTAAGTAGCCAAACGAAGCCCTGAAGGAGACGAAGACGTGTCAATGGGAAGATCGTGATAGGACAGGTGGACGAGTTATGTTTTAGTTTTAGTAGGAAAGATCTCGCATCTAAATCAGGGAGGAAGTTTAGGGAAATGGGCGAGTGGCTTGTAAAAACTCGAAAAGGGTCGATGAGGGCTGTTGGACGCGTTTTTATTCATGGCTTTGTCTGGTGTCACTGAGAATTAACTTTATAAAGAAACGAGAACAGATATGTCAAATGTATTAAAAAACCCAACCCGGTTGGTATTTAGAAAGCGCACTGGTGATAGGGAAAAAGCTGGACTCTGAAAGAGCGCATCTTTTTTACTTACGGATCTACTTCTTTGTTCTCTCTTTGTGTATGGGAACAAACCACAAAAGGGGGGGGGGGTGCAAAGGGTTTATCAAGTGCGGCGAACAAAGAGTGTTGTTTATCCACATTGTTCCTGTGAAGCCAAACAGACGTGTTTGAGTCGTCTATCCTCAATTTTACACATTTATATCTGACATTTCCTCTACTCATCTCTTTCACCTGAAATCACAGTTTTCTTTTATAGTTTGTATGCTTCTTTTTGTATTTGCTTGACAGCTTCTTTCTGTTTTCACATTCTTTACTTTTTTGACTTCTGAAGTATAACTAGCATATTGTATTCACCTCAGAGTCAATCCTTCAGTGCATGTATGTTCGGATAGAAGTTAAAATGCTTGAAGCTTCAGATTATGTAAATACATAATATTACGAATATAATCTACTAGCCCTGTATGTTTAATTCCTATCCGTGTGGAAGCATTTTTATAGGCTGGTCTAACATCTTTCTATCCTAGTGAACATCTTGTGTTGGAAACCGCGCAGCATGTTTATCTACACACTCTTTGCCATGTATGTGAAAGACAAACATTTATCACACATCATCTCATGGGTTGTTATATTCTGAGATCTACTTTTCCGGAAAGCCAGTGTCGCCATTTTCCTCATCAAACCCCAAGCAGCTGTCAGTGGCTCCTGGAGCCTCTGTCTACAAGACAGAGTCGTAAACAACTTCTAACTCTTATGGAAACCTCGTCAGATCTGATACACGTCTCTTTCTCAATGCATATTCATAACAAGCTATCGATGCTGGATTTGTCCCGAGGCCTTGCAAGAACATCACTGATGGATGAAAATATTCGTGTAACCTCTCCTGGATTTCTTTCTTTCTTTTCTTTTTTTTTTGTAAAAAGAAAAAAAAAGCTCGAATTGTTTGACTGCT